CAGAAATGAAAGAACACAAACCCAAATCAGCATGCAAAAAAACTTGTTTCACATTAATTCAAGGAAAAATTAATAAAGACAGGAATTGTGTAAATTATACTGGAACATGAAGAAAAGTTAATATCCTTTAAATTATTCCCTGAAAAAGTGAAGGCGCGAGGGAGAGAGAGTGAGGGAGGGGAAAGGAAAAATATGAACTTAGGCCAGTTGAACAAATGTAGGTTAAGTAAGGCCAAATAAATAGGGAACTGCAGGACAGTCAATTTTTACATCATATGAGGAGAGGGGGGGGGAAAATTAATACTGTTTTCTGTTTTACCACCTTAAAATTCACCCATCCCTACCATAGGGATGTCAACAACAGAACAACGATTTTTGTCATTTTAATTGCGACTATACCCTTTAGTTAATAGTAAGCCCGAGCCTGATTTGTGTGAATTTTTGTGTTGAGAATGGTGAAAAGAAAAATTTGGTTGATGTTGGTGTTTGATGTGGTATAGTTTTTGTAAAGCCAAAGATGCTGGTTTTAGATCAAGTATTCGGAAATTTGCGAACGCGGACTCCTCCCTCTTCCCCACATCCTCCCATTACCCCACCTTCTCATACCAAAAAATGGTTCTTAGTGTCTGATGATGGTGTTGTGATTTTGGTGGCCTCCTTTGTCTATTGAAAATGGTCCACACAAAACCAATATGGTAACTCTCTCACCCACAAGCTCATTAAATCATAAAACTAATATCACAAGATGGTATTCATAGGATACATCTAATGACTTAAGTCATTTCCCACAGTTTTCAATATTCACTGGGAGAAATTCTTAATCATCCTCTCTCCTAACGACGTCAGACAGTAAAAACTTAAAACGCACCTTTTAACTGCTGTGCTTAATTCAATTCTTTTAATCAGCACTGTAGAATGTAATGGTTTACATACTTCACTCTTACAAACTCTCAGCAGTGCAGGGTCTTTGTTTTGATGCTGTTATTCCCTTTAATCATGACTGAAAAGCCCACTAGGTTAAAATATTAGCATAAAAAATTCTATAAATAGTTTGATTTAATTTCTACTTACACGACTGTTGCTATTTTGCCAATATATGTTTGTCCGATGATTAAAAAAAAATAACTTTAATAATATTCTATCAGAAACTAAAAGGATTTTGTTTATTTGCCTGCAAATGTTTCAGAACAAAAACACATGGGTGTCTACATTGCAGATTGTGTATATTTCAAATGACGCTGTATACTTTAGACTCTGTGGAAGATGGGCCTTTGAGCTAAAAGAGTCGCTAATCAAACACACATGAAAAAAATGAAAATATGACATGTAATAATAATTATGTTTTCTTATGAAAAATGATTAAATAAATTAATGACAACAACAATCCATCCAGGTTTTTTTATTATATACTGTAGCTACAGCATTTAATTGATATTCTTATATATACTCAGCTCTAAGTTTAATGCTTTAGCCCTACGACGAAAGGGCTCAGGTTGACACTCCACACAATTAGAATTATTAATAAATTCTGCACACATCATGTGAGTGATGCCAACTGCACTCTCACTTCCAATATTTTGAGCAAGCTTATGCAGGCAAATATATTTATGACAGTATATAATATCACACACAGACAAAATTGGAGGAGCAGCAGTATTATTAAGTGCAATTGGAAGAAATGAGATTGTGGTTAAAACAATAAAATGCGAAATTTTATATAAATAATGGTATTGGTGCCGAAGATATATTGAGCCCATCTTTCTTTATACTTTTTCTTTTGATTAAAAAATGTCTCATTCTCACAGTGATTTATTTAGATAGGTAAATGGAAAGAGATTATGAAGGCCACAGAGAGAAGAGGGAATAAAAATTCTTAGGATAGGTGTTGAAGAGAGAGTGAATAGGGATTGACATCAGTTTCAGCTGCGCATTTCTGCAAGGAAAAAGTGGCATCTCCTATATATACAATTCAAAACATAACAAAACAAATGAATAATAATCATTAAAATTTGTATTTTGCATAGCGCGCATCCACGTATAAAAAGAATGATAACTACTAAATTTAATCAATTCATGTGAATGAAATAAATATAATGAGAAATGATATTTATAAAATGTAATTATTAATAAAATAATAATATATATTGAATAAAAATTAATAAATAATAGAAATAAATGTGTGTGATAAGTAACGTGAATGTTTTGTGTGTTAAACAATACAATCAAATCATAAGTGGAGATGTAATTTTGAGAGAGAGAGAGATGGAGAGAGAAGAGTGTATGTTGATACACTCCCCCCGCACCCTCCAGTCCTCTCAGTCACCAGGTGGCGAGTGGAATATAATTGGACAGCTGTCACCACCACTGAGGCTGGCGTGTGTGTGTGTGATGGTGTTGTGTGTGTGTGTGTGGTGTGTGTGGTATGTCGTGCTGTGTGAAATAGGTAGTTGAGCATGGTGTGTGAAAGACAATCAGAGAGAGCAAAAGAAGGTAGTGCTGCTGAGTGTTAGCATTATATTTCCAGACATAGATGGTAGGGTCAATGACTGGGTGACCCCATGAAGAGATGAGAAGAAGAGAGAGAAGCGGAAGTGCATGTGTGAAATATGTGTTGGCCAGGAGTGTGGCTGGTGAGTGGATATGGGAATAATAGAAAATGGTGATGTTAATGAAGGTGGATTAAGTAATAAATTAATAAGATAAGGTGAACCAGAGGAAAAATAATTGAACTAAATTGAGATATTCAATAATAATGAATAAAGATTTAATATACGAAAAAGTAGTGAGGAAGATTGGTAAGAGATAAGGCATATGGGATTTATTTGCGAGGAACAAAAATAATCATTAAATTAAAGTGTAAGTGAATACGAGCGAAGAGACAATAAAACAAGTGAGAGAGCTTGACAAAACAGCCAAGACAGCAGTTTCATAATCCAACAGGCCAGAGCAGACAAAAGACTGCAGATACTGCGCAGATGGGGAGGGAGCCCTGCTGTTTAGTGTATTGTTAAGTGTATATGTGTGTTGTGAGTGAGAGAGAGAACGGGGGGGGGGGGTGGTCCATCAAGGATGAAGCAGACAGCATTGAATGTTATTCAAACCAGGGTGGGCAAACAGGGGCTGTCAACAAGTTCAAGTAGAGAGTCCTAACACAGATGGTAAGTGAGCTGAAGAAGAGAACATGCCACAGACTGTCTTAATATGTAACATGTTAGGGGGAGGAGCTTCGCAGCTTTGCTTTACTTTCACTACCAAGAGGTAAAAGGCAAAAAAGAAGGAAAACAAAGACGTCTGTTTGACATGTCTGACTGCAATTTCAGATGTTTTCAGCCAGCTGAGCTTAAAGACACTCAAATTATGCTGCCAGACACTCAAACCACCATGCAATCAAAAGTAGACAGCTCCGTTGCAACATGAGGAAAATCAAGTCCTCTTCATGTTATCGTGAACCAATGAGAGCACACTCACTGAATGTCAGAAACCGAGAAGAGGGAAAAGATAGACGAAGGGAACGAGGGGAAAAAACGTAATTTTTCCAAGATAGAAAAATGAAGCACAAAGACATTTCAGTTGCAGCACCTACACTGTGGAACGGTATGCATGAAATTAATCTGTGGTGATTTTTAAGAGCCATGTGTCTTTTATTCTCTGGCTCAAAATTTAGATGATTCTGTCTGTTTGATTAGATGTTCCTCATTATGTTTAGCAGTTTGTTTACATCTGAATATAGCTGACAGCTTCTTGTGTTATGGCAATATAAGGTGTATGTATACCTCCTCTTTGGTACAAACTTGCTTTGTGTAAGTGCTATATGCAGAAACTCGAGCTAGAACTAGAATATAATTGAATTTTTTACCTGTAAATGTTTTTTTTTTTAACTAAAAAAAAAAAAAAAAGACAGAACAGAGATGAGGGGGAAGAAAAGATTAGACCCAATCAGAATCTTTTCCAAAGCAGCTCAGGTACGCACAGTCAGCAAACAGACATGCATTCGAGTGAGCAGGAGCTTGTCATTGACCCCCCTCCCACACACATGTTCACAATGATCTACAGACTTACACACATTCACCGCTTCGTACATATATAATCCTTTAACATACTCACACTTACCCACACATACACACTCACACACACTCTCTCACACAGGATTTACAAACAATGAAACCCAAGGGGAAGCCTCCCCACCTCGCCATCACTCTTGTTCTATTTCTCTGCAGAGCCTCCTCTTTGTTTTGTCTCCTTAATGCTGCTCTAAGCCCATCTTAACAGGGAAATGGTGCAGAACAAATCCTAAGCAGGAGTTGACAGGGTGGGATAAGAGACTACTGACGTTCCTCTGTTACTATCATGTGAAGTTATGAAGTACGATTGATATGGAGAGCGTGAAGAAATGGTAAATATTTTTAGATGTCCGTGATTTAAATTTGCGTGGGGCTAATTGGTATCCTGGAAAACTAATGAACAGGTAACATGTCTGTCAGCAGCTACATGCCCTGGTCTCCTTGAGCTGCATCAGTGAGACCTTACATACTCACTTATTGTAAGAACATCAGCTAAATGCCTAAACCTCCATCCTCCACATCTCTCCAACATTCCCTGTTTTCTAAACAGTGTATCAGATGTGCATGATGACCCTTTAAAAAGCACTGCATAGGGAAGCTGAGGAGTAATCAGCAGTAGTATGGCTAGTCAATATTTTGGTACTTACATAAGGCGTGTGAGCTGGTGAGCAGCAGTGATAGCAGCAGAGTGGTGACAGGCAGCAGGAGTGGCAAGGAGAGGCGAGGGGCACCGCTGGTGGCCATCTTGGCTCCAGTAGGGAAAGGGGAGGGGGCAGGGAGGGGCGGGGTGGGACTGATCCTTGACCTGGCCGGAGAGCCGAGGCCCCGACTGCGCAGGGAAGGTTGGGGTCTTCACGCAGGACGGCTTGGCACTCTGCAAAAAGACAGAAAGAAAAATGAATTAGAATTTTTTTTATTATTCATTTTTTATTTCTGCAAGGGCCATGACTCACTGTCATCTTTATCACACTTTTTCTACAGCTGACAGCAACAAACACCAAATACACAAAAGAAAAATAACTAGTCAACATTTACATTCTGTGACAGTGAATATATTAGTTTGATTCCTACAGTTCTAGATGGGAGAACATGTTCTTAATCAGAGCCGCTCTGAGTGAAAAGGTAGCGGTTCTGCCCACATCGACAGGACGTGTTACTTTTGACAAACACACAGACTGGGCCACTCTGCTGTGCTTTTCACAGCCTCTCATTGCTACCAACACATAAATGGAAGGAAGGTAATAGGGTGTCGGTGACACGACTGGAAGCAAAGTGTCACATATCCAAACCCTGTAACCTCCCCATCTTGCAACCAGCATCTTCTCACATCCCTTAATTAGTAGGGGAGTCACTGTTGTCTTTCTTTTCCTTCTTTTTTTCTAATCACCTGATCTTGTCGTTATTTGCTTATCTTATTGTCTTGTAATTACACAGGCAGCCAATGATATTCCAAGCACTGTCTCTTTGTTTTAGTCAAATTGCCATTAATCCCCAGCTACACAGAAGGACAGGGGACGCCTCCCACATCCCACCACACACACACACACACACACACACACACACACACACACACACTCATTGGTATGTCTGGTGCAGCACAGAGCCACCACCAAGTGGTTACACATACTCTTTAATTAAAGACGTGAATAACGAGACAAAGAGAGAGAGAGCTGAGAGCAATCAATGACATGAATGCAATCAATTAGTCAATTTCTTTGTCTTTAAAATGTATGACATTCAGCTGACACCCATATCCAGAGCATCTTACATCAAGATGAGTGAGCAAGGTAAGCTTTAGGTAAGCTTGGAAAAGGTGGGGGGGGGGGGGTCTTGCTAAAGGACACTTCTGTCTCAGCATTCAAGCAAAAAAAAAAACAACACAAAAATGTCCACTCTCATAGGATGCAGCTCACAGGACCCAAGTTCATACCCCCGTGTCAGCAAGCATCTGCCCTGCTTTGGTGTCCTTGTGCAAGACACTAAACTCCTCCAGCTCCAGGGATGCTGCTACTCAGCTGAGCCTACATGAGGGGTGAGGGCGACTCCCTAGAAGTGAGATTAATTACCTGCACACTGGGTGGTTAACAGGGTACAATAGTACAAACTGTGCAGGATGGAGCGCAGTTTATTGCGGATGCCCTAAAGCAACTTTTTTTTTTTTTTTTTTTTGGGTAACCTAGAGGTGAAAGATAATATTCTGTCAGCACAGGTTTAAGTTTTGATCCACGAAGCAGGCACTTTCAAATCCTCACCTGCTAACTCACTGCAAGCTGTTTTTGACAAGACTGTCAGTGGCTGAAATGGGAACTGAGTGTACTTCAAAAGTAGCACAACTGACCGTTATAATTGCTATCATTCTGTTGCAATCAGGATCAGAAGCACATATGTTAAGACAAGGCGACAGACAGCTTGAGAGGTCAACTGTACTAGTGGAATTAATGTGTATCCATCACTTACACATAAAACTTCCACAATTACATAATGTATTATAAAATACTTTTTAATCACATCATAATCCCAGTTGTTATCTTAGCCATCTTTTATTGGAGTAGAAATGGCGGCAATGTTGACTAACCCACTATCTGGATCAGCAACAGCTTACATCACCTTAATTCAATGAAATAAAATAAAATGAAATCGGCTTACTCAAAAAATGAGTGATTATGTTGCCCATGACAAGCTGCTAAATTGGCAGAAGAGTTGAAAGGTTAATATATGCAGCTGTTTTAAAGGGTACATTTGTGACTATGGCCTTGTGAGAGGCAGAAAACCACAGCTAATTGCAGTGTAACCAAGCACCTCAGACAGCAGGCACACACACACACACAAGCGCCCCACCCTTCACAGCTACTGGCTCTTCAACTGGCACACGCAGCAGCAGGAGCACTTAAAATAAAACCACAAAGGCAAACAGCAAAACCCATATCAGACACAAATGCACACATAACTCTGTATGGCTCATGGGCTGTAAACATTCATTTCTTTTCTTTTTCTTTTTTTTTTTTTAGATATGTAATCCATTAAAACAGAGATGTTCAAGAATATGTGGCACGTGCACTTGCAAAAACACAAAGGAAGAGATCAACAATAGGTCTTTTGTGGTGACGCCATGCCCGGAAGGAGTGGGTGTCTTTCATGAGCTCAGTTCATCTTTCAACACGATACGATATGCACACGACCGATATGTGTCATTGCTTGTTTTTCTTTTTTTTTTCTTTTTTTTTTTCTTGGCCTGAAGGGCAGGTGATGTCATTGGTGAGAACTGAGAGAAACACAAAAACATGAATAGAATAGGAAGGTATCAAATTGTCTAGGGGACTTCTGAATGATTGTGTGCTATTGTTCTGACTGTAAACATTGGTAAAGGTAGAGGGAATCTCACCATGCCTGTAGGGAATTACTCTATCTACACTCACAAGATGCCTCGGTTTTGATTTATGGCCCTCCCCTTAGGGCATGGCATTCTATCTCCACCTGTAGTTGCTATACAAACTTCACAACACAATTACAAGAGCTATTGTTGTTGAACGGCTTCGCCAAACATAACCTAAGGCCATGTATTGGTTCCACTTTTAACCATATACACTGTCTACATGGCTCAACACTGGCTTCTTTTCTGAACTGTTCATGGAAGAAAGAGAATAGATAGAGAAGTTAAGATAAAAAAAGGTACATGTATATGCTAACACACATTCTTTATTAGTCCCTGAGGGACTGGAGAAGCTAAAGACTCACCAAAGAAAAACTTTAACCCTATAATAGCAAATGCAGCTCTAAACAGAGATGCCAACATGTTGCTAAAGCAGTCCTTTGCTCAAAAGTAAGACATGGTATGGGATGTACAGCGTGTTTCTCCCGCTGTTACCACCTCCATGGGAAAACCTGTCAACACTTGCTAAAAGCATTCATCACTTTCCCTGCAGAAATGGGCAGAGGAAAGATAGTCTTTAGCATTCTGGCAATGTTAGCAGAGAAGCCAATCGATTGATAAACCTTCACCATTACTTCAACTGCTTTCGCATTATAGGTTGTGATCACGAGGAAACTGCAAATGATCATGTTTTTCAGATTTCAATGTGACTAGGATGATTGCAACAACTTGTTTCAGGGGGGAATCACGCTAATTGGCAATAGTTAAGTGATAGTGAAGCTTGCACAACTTGCACCAGCACTACTCCTATGTTGCTGCTAGCAACTTAAAGATGTTTTGCTAACCCACCAAACAATCTTTCAGTTGACCCATTGATGTATGCAATGCTGGTAAAATCATTATCAGCAGCGGATTTGTTACAATGGACCTGCATCTTTAAATTTTCATTGGCACAATATGAGTTTTCTAACTAACTTTTCCAACTCTTACCTGTAAACTCCAAGTGCAACTGCACAAAGGTTAATGATAGCATTAGAAAAACAAGTGTTTGCCACATTTTAGACATAACAGGGGCAGAGAGATTCTGCAGACTAGATACAGAGTTGTTGGAAAATATGCATTTTTTTTAAATGGACCTGATTAAAACGGTAAAAACACAATTATGTGGTTTCAAGTCAAAAATCTACGTTTTCCGACAGACACAGGACGTCAGGAGGGAAAGAGAAGCTGGCTGGAAATGCTTTAATGTCTGGCTGTTGCTTAGGCTTTATACTAAAAGGCTTTATACTAAAGAAATACACTGAAATATTGCTGCTAATTCTTTTTATTAAGACTGAAAACCTCACAGCATCAGTCTATTCATGAAAGTGTAGGTTATTCCCACTGATGGGAAATGGCTCTTTTCTGAAGCTTGAATTTCTTGTCCCTGTGAAAACAGTGCAGCTCTCCAGATATTAACCCATCGTCAAGCTTCAGTAATTACAGCCAAAATGGCGGCAAAATTTCCACTGAGTGGTAGCAGTCACTGGCTATCAGGGACTCACACTTTGACATGGTCAAGTTTTAAATTCAGCTCGTTTCCCCATGCAATATTGATACTAATGCATTTGATTACTGAGACTGAGAAAGGCAGTGAAGGGAAGGAGAGATGGGAATTTCCGTCATAAGCGTGAAATGAGAGCAAGACTGATAGATATAAAGTGTGTGCACATGCACACCTACACACATGCCACAATGGGCCAAGAAAAATTAAAAAGGAGGAAGCGAATCCTACAAAGTGATTGAAGGTACAGGCAAGTATATACATGGATTTCTGGATAAGAGACCCGGAGACCGGTGACTTCAAAGGACCAAGCTATTTCCATCCACGACACACTATGCTGTTACACTTGTTCCAACACACACACTGTTAAGATGTGAAGTTGTATTCACGAAGAGAAAAACTTATCACCTGAGGGACCGCATTAATAATCCCTTTTATGAGGTGAACAGCAAGCTCACTTCACACACAGTTAAAAAGACCTCGGTTTGGTTGGGCTTGATGATCAAAACTGATTGTGTGATGTCTGGAACTTCAAAAAGAATAATATTTCCTGTGTTTGTCTAATCTGACAAGAAAAAAAAAGCTGGACTTTCCACAGGAGTATGTTTTTCATGCATTCTTTGTTTTTTTCTTTCATTCTGGTTAGAGTTGGTGTCTCACCAACATCTAATTTCTGGCTGCAGGACCCTGACAGAGCCTGTTTACCGTGACTCCCAGCTACAGCCTGGTAGGGATGTTGTTGATTCTCCCGACATGGGTACTCGCCCATCTACCTTGGGAGGAACTTTGAGGAGGTTGTGTCAAACTGCCTTGGAAAAATAAGTCTGAATG